CTTGGCTTTGTGCTTTTCTTTCCTTTTTAGGTACTGAGTAGGAAAATGATTCATAAGTGTTAAATTTAATTTAATCTGTCGCCCGTCTTCAGTCTCGATTGTGTTACGTATAACACAAAGGGATGGAAAATGTTGGGTTTTTTAATAGAAATTAAATCTTTGGGTAATAAATGTACTATTCCCTCTTGCCCAGGGACAGTCAGAATCATACACTGACAAATCATAGCCTACTATGCTGAATCTCATTAGTTATAATTTCTGTAACTACTGCTTTGTGCCTACTGTATAATACCTTTTTCTTTCTTGCTGATTTAAATGTCAGATTGAGCTTCAGTTTAAAGATGCTTCCACTTTTCCCTGGCTCTGTAGCATCATGTGAGGATGAGATGGCATGGATTTTGCCACATGGTGGCAGTAAAGGCTTTAACTACTACTTGGTTAGTTGCTAGGAATGCCTTGTAAGTTGTCCTTACAACTTCTTTTTACGAAACTTTTTTTTTAGGTAAACTGTCTTTTCTCCCCAAAAAAACCCCCAAAGCAACAACAAAAAAAGCCCCAGCAATTTCCCACTCCTATGCATGTCTCCCCACCCCCACATTTTGTAAGTAGTTAGCCAAAGAGTGCTTTGCACATGCTGGAGTTTAAGAATGAGGCATGGAAAAAAACCCCAAAACTTGTGGCGATTCTGAAACATCTGTTGGGCTTAAGCTGGGAGGTTTAGTCTTAATGTTTGATATCTGGAGCTATCAAGATTTCCCTTCAGGAGAGTGCTAGATGTGTCAGTGAAACAAAGGGGTATTATATGTTGTGAAGCTCCCAAGTATACTTCAAAACTTTTGCCTTTACATTGGTCAACGCTGAACTTGAGCCTGAGTCAAACAAACCAAATGTAAAGCTGCTGATGAAGTGGTTTCATAAACTGATTGCAGCAGTGGTTAATCTCATGAAATTACATGAGAGCAAATAGTTGCTTAGCTGTATATTAAGAGTTAAATATGGAGGAATATGGCAATTAAAACCTCTAAATCTGACCTAATGAACTAGAGAATGATATTTTGACAAGTGCTGATGTTTGACCATTATTAAGACTATTTTTATCTATAGGAAAATCTCATTTATACTGCTGATCCTGATTCCGTTGAAGTAAATACTAAAGATATGGACAGTACTTTAAGCAGAGCATCCAGGGCAATAAAGAAAACATCAAAAAAGGTAAGGTACTATAATGATAGTGCCTTATAGGAAACCCCACTTGAGTCAGGGAATTGTGCGAGTATTTTTGTTTCAGGTGTTTCATAGCAGTTAAAGTAGTGACAGGAAAAACTTAATCTGAGCTAAAACTCTTAAGTATAAGCTCCTTAAAGAAAGAAGGTGGGGAGTGTTTGAGGTTTTGACTGAGTAGTTTTGGAGTATTTGTATATAGCCTTAAGTATTATAAGTATTATGTAGTAATTTTTGAGTCTGTTATGGAACTTACTCTGTTTAAAATATTAAATCTTTTAAATACATTGCAAAAAAACCCCAGCCCTCAGCTGTAACTGGTTTTAGCATATTGAATGGAGTTTTAAAGCTGAATGCAATTATTTAAATTCAAGTACCTTCAAAAGTAGGATGGGCATAGAGTATGGTTGTCCTGGTAATAAAACAGACTTCGACATAGTAAGGAAGTACTGAGCACTGGTGTCTGTGTGTGTATGCTTTCCTTTGTGTATGGCTTAGCTGCTTTCAAATGGACTGGGGACCTGTGCCATGTTCTGCTAAGACGATCTGGCTGGGAGGTGGCAGGAAGGCTGCCTGTCTGTTCTGTCAGATTGGCGGGGCACTAGGTTTGGTTCTGCTAAAGTTTGTGGCATGTGAGAAGGGATGACAGAATGATGCAGCAAGGGGGAATCTGTTCACCATTCTTGGCAGCCTTGCAGCAGGTTTAGTATGTTCAAGATGATAACACTGTTTCTTAGAGAAATCTGTAGAGGCTGCTGTATTTTGGAAGCTGCTGAAGACTAAACTGAGAGCAACTTAAAGGAAGGGGGCCTGACTTTGCAGAACCCAAGGGATGTGGGGAAGCCTAGTTAACTAGTCCTTATTTTGACATCTCTGCTGCTTCCACACATGTTGTCTTGATATTTGGATGGGGCAGGAAGAGCAGGAAAAGACAGATAACCTCACGGGTGTGTTTGTCCAGCTAGTTGTAATACAGTCATATTAACATTTGATACATGTCCTACAGATGGTCAAAATCTGAATGGTAGACTATATTGTAGTTCTTACCGACTGATTTTTGTCAGTGTATAACTGCTTGTCAAACTCCTCAGGTTACAAGAGCATTTTCTTTCTCAAAAACACCAAAGAGAGCTCTTCGAAGGGCTTTAATGTCGCATTCTGCAACAGAAGGAAGAAGTCCCAGTTCAGCTAATGAGGGTTATATAGGCAGCCGACTGACTAGTACGTCATCATTAGCGGTAAGTGATTGGACTGTGCAGGCCAAATAAGTAAGCTTTTTAAGATCACAGTTATTTTCATGTTTGGTGCTGATCATACTTTAACAATTTGAAGATCCACAGTGGAAAAATTTAACTACATTCATAGATGTGTTATTTTCTGAGCAAGAATTGTTTAATGAGAAGGCTTACTTGCTGAAAATGCAGAAAAATCTGCTGTATGTACTAGAAACTGGGAGCTGTCTTGTACAATTAAGTTGGAGGAAAAAAAAACAACCCCACACCCTTTTTTGCCAGAGATGGAATATGTATCCTCTTCTGAGAGAGTGAGAAGTTTCCAACAGAGTCTTATGTTGGGTCATGCTTTTTTGCTTTTGGACAACATAGACAAGTTTGATGTACAATCCTGAATAGTGTGGTGAAAGTATCAGTGAAAGTAGTGAGATGATAGACAGCCCGTGAAACAAACCGGGAAGGAAGGGTAGAGAAATATAGATGCTGCAGCCTGAGAGTTTTTTATAATGGCAAGGGAATTATTTCCTTACACATGTTTAAGAAAACTTGGTAAAATAATATTGTTTCTGTATCTGCATACTGCAACTCTTCTGCTATGCTTGGCTGCGTATTGCAGCTTTCTTCTGCTGCATTAGGTCAAACTCAGTTTCCTAGTACAGTCTAGTAAAGCAGACTAGATTTGGAGGATTTTTTTCATCATCTTTGTTTTTATTGTAGTGTTTGAATAAATCTGTGTGCTGAGTAAATGTCTACTTTAAAGTCCATAGTTTGTAGGACAGAAGGCCAAGAATAGGATTTCCTGTGTATCTTTCTACTACTGCCTGATACGTTGTACCTTAATATAGAGACAATTCAGTATGTGTGGCCATTAAATTGTACAACGTAAAGATACTGCCCTGCTCTCCTACCTGAGACAGATGTGAGAAAATATGAATTAATAAGGGAGGAAGTATCATATAGACTCCCTTGCTTTAGAAGAAATAAAAAAAAAAATCTACCAGTGTGGCTATACCCCAGTTCTGTAGAGATTTTCTTCCTTCCATTATGATTGTTACAACAATTTTGTCTACATTTTGATACAGCACTGTATCTCATTTCTCATGAAAATGCAAGTCATGCACTTTTCTCTCTGTGCATGTCTACCTCATAGAAAGGTACTTTTTTCCATAAAATGATAGGGACTTAGAGGAGTAAAAACTACTTTGCTATTTCAAGTTCTTCCCAGAGTTCTTGGACCTCTGTGATAGTAAACTGCATCTTGCCAGTAGATCATGCATTGTGTGTGATGTTGTGTGGTTTGTTTTTTTTTTTTTTACCCAATCCCACACACCACTGAACTTGCCTAAAGCCTCTTTGGTTGAACCATAAGGTTGAGGGGAAAACAGATCTGGATTCCAGCCCCTCAAGGTGGGATGCCAGCGCAGTTCTTGAGTAGGAAACTACAGCTGCAGGAAACCTGGCTTGATTCTGCTGAGAGAATCAAAGCTGTTATTCAGAATTATTTTATTTAAATAAAATCCTGGCCTGTGCTTATGCGGGGGTTTTTTTGGTGTAGAAAAACTATAAAGTGAAAACATCTGTAAAGCATGGATGCTTGGGTTTTTTCTTATTTGGACTAACTCTTGAACCCCTTCCTAATTGTAGATTGCTCGGTCATCTTCTATGCGCAGCCTAAATGGATCTGTCAAATGTGGTGTTAATGTTCATCGCTCCAGTTCTCTTGATTGGAGCTCTCAAAATTCTAGGCCTCAACCTGTGCTGTGTCCTGGCTCTCCAAATATTCATCTTTCAAATGCTGTAGAAGAAAAAACCTCTTCCAACTTGGAAAGCTTAAATGGTCATATGTTGGACAAATCATGTCCTATCCCTATTATTATTACCACCTGTGGTGATGCTGGAGATGATAACCATTGTGGTGCTGAAAAAGTCTGTACATCAGATCCTGACTGTTAATGACCGTCTTGCATAAGTGAGCAAAAAATCTTGATTCCTCTAGATTAAGACAGCATGACACAACTATATAAAATCTTAGCCACAAAGTCTTCTAAATGGTGTTGGGTTTTCTTTGACTTGTTCTAATGCACAGGGTTGGAGTCAACACTCATGTGTGGTTTAGTTCTCTTTCTGGTTCTGGGTGTAAAGTTAATTCTTTTACAAATACTTTTAAACTTAATTTTTCTAAGGTTTTTTGTAACTAATTTCTATACAATTTAATTACTTCTTGTTTCAGTTCAGTTGTCCAAGTGGCAGTGTAGCTCACTGGCCAGAGTTCTGAGGACTTGAATAACTTAGTTGCAGGGAGGTCTTGAGTAGCTAATTTTACCTATTTTGTTTTTTAAAAGTTTTTTTAAAGTTTTTAGTCCCCCATCTGTAAATAGAAAAAATACCCTGTACAAAATGCTTTAGAAACTAATAAGAGGTGCTATATAAAGAGGAGTTTAAGATTTAGTTTTCAAATATTGCCTCTGACTGCAAATAGAAGATGTACCATAAGCAGGCATTAGACTTCCTAGTGAAGTGGTATATCCTTACCTGCTCAAAACATCTGTGTTTAAAAGATTCTTGAAGCATGCAGATGCAGCAAGCTGCCTAAATACCATGACCCGTTTATGTGCTGAAAAGCTTGGCTGTGCTGTGAAGACCAGCAGAAGATTGCTTGTGAAAGTATCTTGAGGTCTAATGTAAAAAATATAAAATCTCAGCTGATCCAGACAGGTTACCTTTTAGTGCTACGTGTTGATGTGTTGGTTTCATTGTCCCAGGCTACGCTCCTAGTGCCAGAAGAGTAGGCTTTTTGCCTAGTTTGTGCCCATCCAGGCACAGCTAAAGGGAGCTTTGACAAATCGTTGTGATGCCTATTGCCTTCTGTAACCAAGAAGGCATGTATTCAGCATCTGATTTGGGGCTCAAAGCTGGTAAGAATACAGAAAGGTGTAGGATCTGAGGGGAGCTCTGTTTCTCTAGGAGATTATCATAGTGTATCTTGCCTTCAGTTTGGAGGAGATTATTATAGGAAAAATTGTGAGGCAAGATGTATGCTAATACTTGGTTAACAGCTACTCTTCAAAAATATGTTGTTGTGTTCTGAATATCTCAAGGCTGGTAATAAGATATTTCTTCCACATTTTTCTTAAAATATGTGCATTCTGCTCACTTGGTGCTGTTTAACTTGCTGTTCAAAATCTAGAAATGCTGAATCATTAATCTTAAGCTGCCAATCTTAAATGTCTTCTGTACTGTTATGTTCCTTTTACTATGTATTAAGGCTGAGACGTGACTACTGCACTATTGACACTGGTTAATAAATGATCAATAACTGTTTTTTTTCTTCTTCAACAGGGTATTTCTTCTCCTTCCTTGGTCAGTCTTCCCTCAATCTTTGAAAAAAGGAGTCATACATTAAGTCGATCAACAACCCACTTGATATGAAGCAGGTTTTAAATACAATGCTGTATTGAAGTGACTGACAAGCAGCTGGCTGTTCAAATAACCTGTTACTGACATTAATGGTACCTTAGTCATTGGCACTTAGCAATGATTAGCAAAATGTTAGATAACACTAAGTTAATCACAAGGGGTTTTTAGTTGTATTGAAGCAGATCAGCTAATCAGTGGAATAAGTGACTTGGTCTTCATTTAAGACACAGTATTCCCTTGCACAAATGTGTTTGCTCACCAACGTAATAGAAACATTTTCTTCTATGGAAATTGTCCCCTGTAGGAAACAAACTACTTTGTCAGTTTTTTGAAATGAAGATGATGTTCACATAACTTACCGCTAGTTTGGATGACTCTTATGCTTGCCTAACTTCATCAATTGGCAGAGCACTCTAATGTTTGCATTGTTCATTTCTGAAATGGACATGCATTATGAAGTACCTGACCTTTCAAGTATGACACTTAACCTGTTGTACAGCTGCTTATTCCAGGTATTTTATAAATGTAGTTGTTTATAAAGAAATAGAATGAAGTTTCTGTGATTATGTTCTTCTGCAGCCTCACTGTAACACAGTGGTATGTTACATAGGTTTATCTGAACAGTGAATTTAAAGGCTATGATTGGCTTTGACCACCAAAAATGATCAATTGAATTCTTTGAATTTCTATGAAGTGGAAGTCTGAGAAAAATAATTACACTGCCTTTTAGTAGGGCTGTTAAACCCCCAAAAGCCCACACCTTCTACATACTTGTTTAACAAATAATTTTTTTAATGCATGGGATTATTGGTGTGACGTTGTAACTTGAGGGCCCAATTTTGGTGTGTCAAATTTCAGGTGTAGTACTCCTAAGGCTTTTACCTGGCTTTCTCATGTATTTGTGTCTTCCTTCAAAACTGTGTGTTTATTTCTTTCATCTCCTCTGAACAGTTAGTATGATGCAATGCTATCTCAGGAACTACCTAAATATGTATATTTCTGCATTTCCTTAACAGTTTAACTGTCTGTATTTGCAGGAGTTCTCAACTTATGGTTTCTTTTTAACCACCAGTGTCTTGTCTTATGTCTGTAATTAGTGATGCTTCTGAATGTTTCAGACTTAACTGTTTTTTATATCTCTTTTTGCCAATCTAAGCAATGTAAATAAACTGTTTAAAATGACACTGCTTATGGCTTTGCTAAACAGGCTTTTATGAGAGTCTACTTTATGTGAAAAGACAAAAAACATTGTGTTGGGCTCCAGCCTACAACTGTATTCAGATTAGCTATATATAGTTCCTAATAAAGTATACAACGTGGTAGGTCTGAATCTGCCAGAACCAAACTTTTTCACCCTTCTTCCCTCTTCCTCTGGGTATATGTATCCATGGGGTTTTTGTCCTTATCCATTCAGAATAAACATCTGAGCTAAATATGCACTGACACTTAAATAATAAAGTGACTCTAGGAAATAAACTATTCAATAAATACTATGCTAAAAAATCAACAATTTTTTGGTTTATTTTTTGTTAATTTTAGAAGGGTATATTCACTCTAGTAAACTCTATGCAAATTTATGATATTTTCGGCCTATCATTATTCCTCTGGTCATCTTTAGTTTCCAGATTATTTGTATTTATCTTCTCCCTCAAGTTCACTTGCACTCAAAACCAATTGAACATCTAGTGCTTTCTGTATTGCCTATTCTTTTCATTACCACTACTCTACAGCTCTGTTGTTGCTAAATGAGTGGAAAATGATTGTTCAGAGTGCTGAGTCCTACTGTTCCTCATTTGTTGCATGTAACTTTCTAATGGAGGAGCTAGTTCTGCTCAGTCTTGCTAACTCTTGAAGAAGGAGAAGAATGAGGAAGATTTATGCCTGCCTCTAGCGTGACTTTACCCCCTCCTGCCTTCTGGATGCATTATCATCTTAACCTCTTGCATCAAGTTTCAGCATGAGATGCCTCTCTTTTTATTAAAAAACATGTATACTCTTAAAAAAAGAATATCTGATGTTAGGACTGAGAGAAAAATGGCAGCTCAGTTTCCTTGTCATTAAATAATGATTTAAAATAGACAACGTACTTGACCACCCTCCGAGGTGCTGTACTGTAGCACTGTTAATTGAAGGCATGCTTGGTCCTAAATTGAAGAGAGGATACACCACCACTGTGTATCTTAAGATTGTCATGAAGTCTGTAACTACTTTCAGGATGTTGACTGTCAGAAGACCAGAATCTTTTCAGTGAGATGGAGAGAAGTGAAAACAGTGAGATTTTGGGTTAAAATAACAAGGTGATAGGTAATACTTAACACTAATTTGCTGATTTGACAACTTGTTCTCAATCTAATTACTTAGACCAGTGTAAAAAGCCTTTTGGATACTGGAGATAAAAAGGAGGAATCATCTGACCCAATTTCAGTAGGGCAGCATCTTGTGTGACAGTACTGTAAGTTTGCTAGCAGAGGGGAGACTACCAGTGAGTGATTACAAAGCTGGCTGATCTCTACCACTGGACAGCAAATCTTATTAGTATCCAGTGTGGTCATATTGAGTGGGGCTCCATGGAGGTCTGGTCAATATTTCTATTGACTGAGTGGATAACGGAGTGGGAGAGTGTGCTTACTAGTTTTACAGCTGTCACAGCAGCAAGAAACTTGAGTATATGACAGAACAGGCTTAGAGATGGAGCTGAGCTTTCTAAGTTGGAGAGGGGCTCTGGAGGAACAGAAACAAGCGAAAATAAGAAATTTTTACAAATGAGAGGTTTGCCCTCACCTTCTCAATTTCTATGTGCACATGTAGTGTTAGAACAAGTACATAATTTTGGGGAGTATTTTGTTTGGTATTCTTTTAAATTTTAGGTGAAACTGGTTCTCAAAAGCAGAATTTTAAACAATAATACTTTTACTATGGGATGTACCTGACAGTAACAGTAATCACATGGTTTTGTACAATGCATAGCTTCAATCATGATACAGACAACTTCAGAGAGTTTAGTTGAATTAAGTATAATTTCTTAAGTCTCTATGCTGAGATTTCTGTATCAGTAAAACTGTAGGATCTGTTCTGCAACTCTTTAAGGAACAAACTTTAGGATAAAAAGGACATTTCTTTTTAATCTAGCTCTCATTCACTTACCACTCTGCTGAAGAGTTAGCCAGCACACAGAATTGTCTTCATTTAGAAAGACTGGAACTCTCTGAACAGGAGGTCAAAAGATGATCTTTATTTAAAACACAACCCTCTCTTCCTGTAGGCTGAACAAAATCAAACAGTTCTATGAGTCCATGTTCATTGCTACAAGAATCCTTACTCTTAACCATTGTTCTAAGTTGGTGCTTCTTAAAATTGAAGAACAGCTAGCAAAGGAAAGGGTCTTCTGTTGGGTGGGTGTTGTTAGCTGGGGCTGTCTCACTGTTCTGAGCTATTTATCCACAATGTCAAGGAGAATGCAACTTTCTAGCAGCATGCTTCCTTGCGTCCTTTGTTGCTATGTATATCTTGAAGTTTTGGGTATTAGTGCTCCAAGAAGAAATTTTACCTTGAGTAGGTGTGCTATACGTACATTGCCATGGAGCTTATTTAAGTATGCCCTTCACCATTTTGGGAAAATAAGGTATTATGTTATCAACCTGTCTTTGTTGTTAGTTGAAATGTGGAATAGCACTCAGAAGTTTATACTATAAACAGTGTTTAAGAAGCTTGTATAGCTATCGGGGGGTCCCATATGAGGACAGGCTGAGAGAGTTGGGGTTGTTCAGCATGGAAGAGAGAAGGCTCTAAGGAGACCTTAGAGCAGCCTTCCAGTACTTCAGAGGGGCTACAGGAGAGATGGGGAGGGACTCGTTACCGGGGGTGTAGTGATAGCACTGAGGGGTAAAGGTTTTAAGCTGAAAGATGAGAGATTTAGAATAGATATTAGGAAGAATGTTTTCCTGAGATGGTGGTGAGGCACTGGCCCAGGTTGCCCAGAGAAGCTGTGGATGCCCCATCCCTGGAGGGGTTCAAGGCCAGGCTGGATGAGGCTTTGAGCAACCTGGGCTAGTGGAAGGTGTCCCTTCCAACCTAAACCATTCAATGATTCTATGATGATGATTTGTGGACTAAGATGATTAATCTTTTAAAGGTTTTTGTTCAAAAAGAAAAGGTGGAGAGATTACAGCTGTTTGAGAGCACCTGTTTGTGAATCTATTGTAGATTCAACAGAACGGCTTGACCTGTATTTTGCAGAAAAATAGTTGATGTTTCAAAAATAGGAACTGAAAACTCCACTGCGAAATGGATGTTTACAACCTCTGAAAGCCAGCCATCAGAGACAAAACAGGGGCTAGCTAAAATGTACTTTAAAAACACAAAAGCTGTTGAGAGCTTAAAATGTTGGCCAAGTGCTCTACGCAGCTGACATTGGAAGGATGAAGGCAAACTGGTGCCGCGTTCTTTGCCTTGGGTCTGGTTTTAAGCGCAGAGCCAGAAACCTGCTCTCTCCCATCAGTAATGAAAACTAAAATGGAAATGAGAACACCATGAAAACAAGCTAATTAAACATCTAGTGAAATAGATGTAACACTGTCAGACGTTAAGCAAACAAAAGTCATTTTTCGATAAGAACATTACCACTATTTAGGGCTGAATTTTCAGCTGGTACGGAGAACTCTGTCAGCCTCTATACAAACACAACCATGCCTATTTGTGTGCCTAATTTAGGCTGTTAGAAGTGCAATTACCACCCTACCTGCAAATTGTAATTAGCTTAGGCTGTCTTGGTGCCTTTATCAGCTGGTCCATACACTGACTTTAAGTAGAGTCTTGACTATAGTGGGAGCTACCCTCTGTTGTTGAAGCAAGTTATTATTTATATGAAAATATATATATATATGCATGAAGTAGTGAAAAAAAAGATACTTTCAAAGAGATGTGAAGCATCCTTTTATTTTTAGCCTATGTAGGGAGGCCTAGTGTGGGTATTTTATATTGGTGAAATTAAGTAATTAAACTTCTGAAATTCAGATGAGTATGGGTAAAAAGAGGAGAACCTTTATACCTCTCGTTCCTCCTCTCCTTCCAGCACCTCAGTTTCCTTGAGGGCTAAGGAAGAAGGAAGTGGCTGTTGGCCTGATGCTGCAGAGCCCAGTTTTGCTGCTCAGCTTACCAGGAGCACTGTAGAGCCCGTCCTATTTTGAGGGAGATAAAATCTTGCACCTGCCAAAGCCCAGAAGCAGGCTGGGTTCTGCCTCCCCAGCTCAGCTTTTCCTGGCACCTGTGAAGATCACGTAAAGGATGACTTTTTGTGCTTCTCTTCCACCATCTCCTTCTCCATCCAGACATTGAGGAAAGTGCTCCAGCCTGGTAAGCATGCTATCCATTTATTAATGGATTCTTTAAATGGGAGTGGTTGGCATATAAATTGTACTACCTGAGCTCTTGGAGATTTTGTTTCATGTACAGTTAAAACCGGTAATGTTTATTTGTTATATGCTCTCATAAATATTTAACTTCTGAATTTACCTAAGCAGTCAGTAATTCATCGGCAATGTTGGGTTGTAAGCTCCTACATGCTTTCTG